CTACACCTTTTACTCCAGTATTTTATTTGCTTTATTCTGAAGGTTTATATGAAAATCTAGGCAGGATTATGCTGATCCTCCATTTGTTTGTTTAAACCACAAAAGTAGTTCCTGAGAGCTAAAACCAAGGGTTTAACACAAGAAACTGCAAACATTTTTAGCCCTACCTGGTGAGAAGTGCTACTGTCCAGACCCTCTAGAACACAACTAATTAAAATATAGCAACTTAAAATACTTTAATTTCCTGCACTTGTTTGAGATGGAGGAACAGGGAGCCAAACCCATTTTTGAGGATCTGTAAGATCTTGACATGTATCTTAACACATTTAAATACACAAAGCATTTATGTTAAAAAACTCCCATTACAGCTAATAAGATCAGGGTACCTGGTCTAAAGCTATTCCTTGGAATGGAGAGAGGGATTGCTGGATGCACAGGAATGGGAAACATCAAAATTGCATTAGGCATTAAAATAATAATACTTAAAAAAGAATGTTTTCCAGCAGGTTTTGACACAGATGATGTAAAATTATCACACAAACTTCTAAATTAACACAACACCAATGTAAAAAGCACAAGTAATTTCAATTTGAAAAAGGAGAAAAGCTCATAGTTGTGTTTAAAATTTGGAGACTTGAACAAAAATTCTTAGATCCGTGCAGAAGTAACCAAGAGCAGGAGGTGACTGCACCCTTGGCCTACAGCTTTGCCTTTCTCAGCCCAATCTTTCCTCGAGAAATCCAAGCAGCATCCTAAAGACTGTACTTTTCTGCCTCCACGGCACAGCAGAATGGAAGAAGAGTCACATCCCCGACTTTTGGTATCTCCAAGAGAATTCCTTGTTGAAATAGCCAGATGTAGCACGATCAAATTCGATGCTGCACTGACAAAAATAAACCCACCTCACCGAGAGACTTCCCCAATTCTGAAAATCATGTACAATCTGCAAAGGAAAGGGCCAAGCTTGCAGCTAAAGAAGAGATTTTAAACAATTACCAGAGCAGGGCAGGGATATCATAAAGGCAATTTCTGCGCTAGCTTGTTTTCTGCGACTCTCTTTGCCTCTGAACAGCTAGAACAGATAATAACTATTAGTAAATCAAACTCCTGCAATATCCAGCTGTGCCTCCCACATTTACATACAGATAGAATGGGTATATGTTTTTAATATGTATGTGATCCGTACTTTTACCACAGCTGAAGTGCACGCTACAAAGGAGGAGGAGAATGGGAATGGAATCAGCATGAGATAATAAAGTGGCCTAGATAAAGTATTAGCCAGCGATTGATCTCAAACAGGGGATGTTGCTTCTCTCTGACCTGATTACTTACTATGCATAGATTCCATTAAATAGAGCTTAGAATGGAAAGCTTCGGGAAAACACCGTAAATACAGTGACATCCCAGCTCCTGAGCCAGCCCAGCCCCTGGATGCCACCCTGGAGTTTAAACCTCACCAGGCAGCCACATCACCACTGCTAAAACACACACATTCTGGGCCTGGGATGCCAGAAAACTCCATGTTTTACACCAAGAAATGGAAGTTCACGGTGAAAAAAATGTCTTTATACAGAAGAATTGCTGAGATTTTTGTGTTGGAAGAGGAGAGAAGAGAGAGGAACAGGTTGAGATGTTGTGCAACCTTCCCTGTGCTAATACAGGAATATATTCAATTTAATTGACTCTATGCCCTTCTCTTAAGAGGGAACAGACTGGACATAAAGAGCAGCACGTTAGAATAACTTTAGAGTAGGTTTAGAACAACCACTGGTAAACTCTAAAGATTGCTCCTTTCCCTGGATGGACTCGGTGAAATTTTTTTCTCACTCCTGTGGAACAAGTCTGTTAATTTGAAATACTTTGAAACAATGAGTTGATTGTGTATATACAGAGAAAACAACGTGACACCTTGTTTTGGGGATGAGTCCATGGAGGGAAAGGCCAGTGAGTGAACAAACAAATAGTAAAATAAACCAACACAGGAACCCAACCTGGGCCAGCTCTTATGGAAAGCTGGTGTTCATCCTGCACATGGATTCCTTTCTGAAGGAATTTCCCACAGCCTCGGCTTTGGCCCTATTTTCTGACAAAATTGTGACTTTTATAAGAAAAGGACTTCTATGCCAGAGAGGGGAAATCCAACCCTGTGGTTCTGCTGGGGTTGCCACTCTGGCACTCCAGGTATTGTCAGGCAGCTCTTCAAAATGCATTTAACAATTCCCTGATTATCAGGAGAGCAGGAAAAGATTGATGTTCTGCTCCCTTCACTTTGCTTTCAGTCTTTAATTATACTAAATTGGTTACAAAATAGTGACTTGCAGGATGGTTGGAGCCCGTAGGGGAGGAAGGTTTGGTTGGAGCTGATGATGATTACATGTTACACCTTTTATCCTTGCTGCTACATTGCTTTTAAATAAATAAAAAAACCAAACAAACCCAAAACTCAATGAACAAGGGGGAATCCTGCCCTAATTTAAGTCAGTGATCAGCTGACCTTGAAGATCCAGGATTTCACTGACAGTATCTGCATCACTCTGCCCACTCCAAACATCCTCCAGTATTTACACCACTCTGTCCACTGCTTCTTATCCACCAGAATCACATGGAGGTTTCAGGGATGGATGACAAGGAAACAGAAGGATGTTGTGGTGAGAAATTCTAGAATTCAGAGGATATTTTGTGTTCAAGGAATGACTGGATGTGGCATTCACTGCTCTGGTCCGGGTGACAAGGGGGTGACAGGTCAATCTTGGGAGGTCTTTTCCAAACTAAATGATTTTGTGATGTTGAACAGCTTTTCTTCTGGCCCTGTTTCTTAATTATCTGGCCCTGATTATTCATCAATACATAAATTAATAAATTTAAAAAATAAATTGATGTATATAAATTAATTTATGTACACATATATACAGATAGGCTGTGTTTATCTGTGCATTAAAGACACATCCTGCTAATGTACATATGCATAAGAGTTTTATAAATAAAAAAAGACTGGGAAAGGGCAGGAACGTAAATGGTTTGACTGGTGAGCAACTCCTGAGCTAACAGTGAGCGTGGGATGGAAAGCACTGGGTGCTGGGAGCCCATGAGGCTGGAGAAGGGAATTTAGGGCAGTGATGAGGGTCCTGCAGGCAAGGACTGGGTCACTGCTTCATTTCACCAGCACTTTCCCTCATATTTTACTACTGGTTGTTACAAGTTCCTTTATCACTGAATAGCAAGCAGCACAGGGAAATGCATTAAACAAAAGATTTTGTTTAAAAAGTAGAACCCCTTTTTTTTTTTAAAAATTATTTTTTTCCCTCTTCTAGAGCTGCTGGAATTTCAAAATTATTTTACAAAACACCTCCTTAAAAAGGGGACCAGCACACTCCAGGGCATGTAGTGGTAAAGATAAATCTGTGCACTTCCCTGGTACTGCAGGCACTCACCCTCTGGCCTCAGTTTTATGGCTCTACACCCTGGAGTGGTGTTATTGCTTCCAAACATACATATATACTTCTGGGGGTGTGTGGATCTGCAGATGTTTTATTTATAAGTGGCAGGCCGATTGCATCACCCGAACGTGCATTTAGGAACAGATCGAGGTTTTATGAAAGCCCATTCCATTGTTTTAATGGCTGAGCCACCCAGCCATGGCAGAACAGCGCACGAGGTAAATGTGCCTACACCTCCAGAACCTGCTCCAAGTTTTCTCAGATGTGACTAACTGCAAGAATCTCCCAACCAGCAAAAGTTAATAAAAAAAAAAAAAAAGACAAAACCAGGCAGGGTGAGGCCTTGGTAGGAGCCAGCACCCCGAAGTGGAGGGGCCCTGAGAAAGTGGAAGCCTCATTTTCCAGAGGTCTCTGAGCAGGTACCTGAGTGCAAACGTGGATCTGGTGAAGTCAATACCCTTAAAATTACATTCACAGTTAAATACTTTCCTAACCAGGATGTCAGCTGAGACCAGGATTGTGAGATACCTGCCCCAGGGCATCTTCAGAGATTAGCCTTTAACTAGAGAAGAGCTGCAATACAAACACTTGTTTATTCTACTTGCAGCTCCCAGCGTGGAAGCACCAAATGAGAGGATGCACCAGTGTCTTCATCTTGCTAAAATCCATTAGAACTATTCCTGCAAAGTATTCCTAAGCTAAAATTATTCCCAGATACTTCATCCCCAGAAAAAATGATGGTTTTCCATAAGGCTCCAAGGCACGGGAAGCAGCATACGAAGGAAAGTAATGACATTTAAAAATCAAAGGCATTTGATGTGAGTCAGAGGGGATTATGACTCTTAGCTACAATATAAATTGCTGTAAATATTTGTAGTAATTGCTTGATATGGTGTTTTTCTAGCTGCTTAAGAACAGTCAAAACAGCCCTAAATGCACAGCCACAAGGGACCAGGTTGAGAGCAGGTAGCCTGTTATTGCCTCCCTGAAAAAATGACAATTGCCAGAAAAAAAGAGCTCAGATTCCAACACTGAGAACCCTCCCATGGACAGAGCACAGCCAAATATTAACTCAATCTCCTGCAGCCAATACAATTCCATTTCACATGAGTCTAAGGGAAAACAGCAGCTCCTGCATTTAATTAAAATGCACTATTTTGACCATAGCCTCTGTTTTCAATCTTCACATTTTGAAAGGTTAAGATGGCAAGTGCTGACAAAGAGTGACCTACATTAAGCTCTAATCCCTGGACATACAAACTGAAAATAAAAAAAACCGGTATTGAGCATCAAAATGGTTTTGACTGAAACTTGATACTGGCTGTGAAAGTTCTCTGTGAGCTCCCCAAATCACAAGTGAACAGCAAAACACCCAACAGCTTCAGTGGAATCATAATTCCACCTTTGGTTTGAGTGCTCTCTGTAAACATGGAACTGCTGCACCAGCCAGGAAGGGTTTAGATTTAAATCTGTACATACTGAAAAACGCAGGAAAAAATGGATACACTTCTATACAAATGAATAAAAAGCAGTCACACAGATAGATATTGAGTTTTCACTTACCATTAAATCTTCAGGTGCTGGTCTTTCCTTTGGCTGCTTCTTCATGCTGTGTCATAAAACACAATAAAGACAAAATAAAAGCAACTGCTCATTTTTTCTACAGGTTTAAATATTGAGTTATTTTTTGTATCTCTTTTATCACAGAGTGAAATTCAATGTATTCTTTTAACGTTCTCAGGTGCTGATGGAAGACCGGCCAAAACGTATATATGGATTTTTCCCTCCCTCCCAGCCTTCCCCTGTGGGATGCAAGATGTTTGTAACCATGGAAAGTGTATAAATACAGGGATCACTGCAATCCAGACAGCTCAGAAGGCACGGGGAGAGCTGATTTCCCATTTTTCTGGGGATTATGACACAAAGAATTATCCAAACAGGTGGGAGATCCAACTCCACCGCTGAACAGCTTCAGGAGCACACGCAATACCCTGGGGTTTCCACCTTCATTTTTCCCCATTTATTTCCATTACCCTGCAGGGTGATAGTTCATTACCCAGCATTAACCTGTTTATAAGATCATGTTTCTCATCCAAACAGTCCTAGTTTTCCATGCAACAGGTGCAATTAGCTCCTGAAGGCTGTGCTGAGCTGCATGAGGGAACACAATAACGTGGCACAGAGGTGACCATCAGGAGCTGCCTACTGACTAATTGGATTCAATCCAAGCAGCCAGGGTTTATGGCATAACTGGCATAAAGTCTGGGATGCTGCTCACTCCTGACATCTCTCATGGTTATTTAGGAACTGATTGCTTAAATAATATATACTCCCATATTACTTGCTTTTTATAAGCAGTAATTCCTCCCACTGCAAAGCACAGCTAATATAACATTATATATAAAACACTGGATGATTTGTGCTGTAAATTGGAGATATTAAGGACACAATTTACCTTCTGAATCACTACAAGCCCCTCAAATAATCAAGTACCACAAGCTGTCTGAGGTAGCAGTTTAATCTGACAGTCCAAAGTAGCTGCATCCCCAGGGAAAACAAGGCTATTAACCACCATCAGTTATGCTTCAGGTTGACATCTGTGGAAATTTTAACACAGGTTATCCCTCCCTCTGCCTCTTTTTTTTTTTTTAAACCAGTCTGTCATCAGTTTTTTGGGGGAGGATCAGAACGTGGAGCTCCACACACAGCGGTTGTGCTGCAGAACCCTCCCAACTGCCCCGGCCTTTGTAAGCTGAAACTACTGAAAACTGAGGCCTCTGTTACACAAACTTTAATTATTTAGTTCCTTTAATTAACCGATCATCAGACTGCTTTTTGTGCCTGGATTTGTTACAGGCCTGAGAGGTGCCTTCTCCTGTATTATCCGGTCAAAATTCAGTGTTAATGGGTCACTCTCGCTGCAGTGGCCCTGACACGTGACAGAAAACCCAAAATGTGCAGAGCCCAACCCACAGCTCTGTGGGGGGGCTTGGAGGGGGACACAGCCCTGGAGCAGGACACATCCAACAGGACACATCCAACAGGACACAGCCCTGGAGCAGGACACAGCCCTGGAGCAGGACACATCCAACAGGACATCCAACAGGACACAGCCCTGGAGCAGGACACATTCCTGGAGCAGGACACAACCCTGGAGCAGGATTCCCTCTCCCACACACCAGGATGGCTCCATCTCATTCAGCACAGCTGAGCATCCAGCCCTGGGTGTGCATGGTCACAGAAAAGATCCTTCTCCCTCAAACACATCCTCTTTTTACCAAAATTCAAGCTTACTGCTGTACATAAATGCCTGCCCTCTATTTGTTTTCTTCTCAGGGCAGTGTGACAGCTCAAAAGGGATTTTTCCCTTCACTTTGCTTCTTTTGGATGTCTTACCCTCAGGATTTGTATCCTCTAGTCACTCAAGAACCGTATTCTTTATTCTACAACCTCCTCCTCTCCCCAATTCTCCTTTAATTTAAAAGGTTCTCAATGAACTATTCAGTTTTAAGGACAGAAAATATACCCAGTGGTGTGTTTTAAACCACGACTCTCAGTAAAAATTACTTACTGAGAAGCCAATGAATTCATCAAGGCCTCTTGCCTTCTTAAATATCGAGGCAATTTTACAAGGAACATTTTTAAAAGCACTGACTGATGGCATTATAAATGAGGTTTTTGCTGAGTCTTTCCCCCACCCCCCGATGAATTCTTGGGAGCCTCAGCACCCACATTCAGGGCAGGGTTTATTAAAACAGGGGATAAAAAAAAAAACAACAAAAAACGAAACAAAACCAAAACAAAAAATAAAAATAACCCCCTTGTAAGTACTTTTACGACCCTTTGTGTAAATAACGTTTACATAATTTAAACAGTTTGCTCAGCTTTGCTGCCCCATCTGCCCAAGGCCCCCAAGTCCCTGTTCTCTGGGAGAGGAGGCAAGGAAAGCCATAAGGTCTCGGGGAGCTGCGGAGTTAATGACATGTATCATTTACATCCAGGGCATGGCATGTTTGCAAACCGAGCTCACCATTGAGTGATGAAGTGTACAAATGGCTCCGAGAACTCCCCGGCTGGAAGGACCGGCGATTCCTGGGATTGCAGCGGAACAAGGAGGCAAAAAAAGAGAATTTATTTATTTTTTTTTTTTTAGGAGAGCGATAAAACGGCGACAACAAACCAAAGAAAAAAACAAAACCAAACAAAAACCAGCAAACAACAAAACACACAGAAAAAAACCCGCCCCGAGGAATAATAACCACAAAGCCCCCGTTTCACACCGAGAATTTGAGAGAGAAAGGTACAAATCCTTCGGAGAACGTGTTATAAAACACTGAATTTCAACTAATGAGTATTACACAATGGGTAAAAACATGTGGAAAGACACTGAGGGGAGGTGAAAAAAGGACAATGATAGCCACAGGGTAAAAAGGAAGGTAGGGAAAGTGTAAATGAGAAATTAATGATTATTTAAGTAACACACAAATGGTCTTGTAATTAACAAAGAGCTGTGAAATTATTCTTGTGTTGACCTTTGTTTCTTTCCCTACATTCGCTATTTATTTACACTCATGTTTATTTACACTTATTCATTTTAGAGCCTGTCCTCATATGCTGTCTGGGCAGGATTTAAAAGGCAGAAGAATTTTTAGAAGCAAAAAATTTACCAGGCTAGTGGTAGAAAACAACCACCCAGTATTTAGGAAAGAAAAAAAAAAAATTAAGAGCATAAGAGGGCGAAAAAAACCAAAAGAAAAAAAGCTTCCAAACAGGGAACAAACAACAGCACCATTTGCAAAGAAGGGCTTTACGAATTTAGGAGTTTTTCCAAGAATGACAGAGAGCTCCACTGTGTTTATAGTGTAACAGCTCAGGATGTAATGAAATTACACTGCAGAGTACTTTAACAGTGTCATCTCATTAGACCTACAGTTGGAACAAGAGAGCCACATAAAACACGCAGCTGCAAATGACTCCATTCTCATCTATTCTCATTTGCTATTAAAAATACCTTTCGGCGTCTTTTTCCCTCCCTGACATCCCTCCACAAAGTACCCTGCAAAGTATGATACATGCACCTATTTAAATTAACAAAGGAATGACTTATTTTAATCTCACTGTGCTTTGGAGTGCTTTGGCCATTTGGATGAGCAATATATCATTACATACAACCTTCCAGCGCTGCAGGCAAGAAACTCGGAGCGTGCAGCATTTGGTGGGAGCCAAACAATTTCTCTAGCACACAACTGTGTCAAATGCATGCATGTATTCATTATGGGGAAGGCGAGGAAATAGCTTTGATGTAGTGGAAAAAAGAAGATGATAAAAGCACCTCTGCAATGTGTGTGCCATTATCAATGGTGGCAGGATAGACACGACTGCAGAGCCTCCTATGTGATTAGTAAATATACATATAATTGCTGTGGCCAATTATCAGAAAAATGAGATCGGTAATTACAAGACAGAAAATTAACTAGAACTCTTATTAAGGCTTTGTTTCCAATTCGAACAATTGGAAACTGCTGGAAAATACGATTCAATCAAAAGTAACTGAGGAGGAAAAGGAGAAGCCAAAATTGCTGTACAATTTTCAAAGACTTCTATTAAATACAAGGAGCTGTTTGATAGAACATGCCCAAATTCTCTTTGAACTCAGACCGGGTGAGGGAGAGGTTATTGTTTCCAAACTTAGAAATGACAGCAATAGAGGAGGGTTTGTGCTGCTGGAGAGTGGAAGGGAACACAAGGAAATCAGCAGTGCAATTAAACTTTCTCCACTTCAAAGAACGAAATTATCCAGATTAATACAGAAATTGCCAGCCTTGCTCATGTGGGGCCCGGCAGGCTTTGCCTCTCCCCACCACCCTTTTCTCCTGCCCAGCTCAGCCCTCCTGGGCTCCCACCTGAAGCCACTGGGATGGACCCAAGGCAGGAGAGGTGGGAAATACTCTGGGCACCTATCACAGTCTGTGGGAGCCCATTCCCCAGGGAGCTGGCTCTGCCCAGCCATCTATCCCTGCTGGTTATTTTAAGTAAAATGCAAGTCAGGGGCTCGTTCCAAGCCAAACATCCTGTGAAGGGGCTGCCAGCTCGGCTCGAGCCGTGGTGGGCACCGGGATGGGCAGCTGGAACTTCACACTCATTTGGGAGGTGATAATTTCTGCATTCACAGGAGATGAAGGCCCCATAATCGAGTGAAACCTCATTATGAGAGGGGAGGAGAAGCTGCTGAGCTGCTCTGAAGCCACCAGCATCCTGCTCCGGTTATCCAAACCCTATGGGCTCACGCAGGCATGAGGAGAAGCAGCTCCAACATCAGCACAAAACCCTGGACCACACAGCTCCTGTCCTGCAGCACAGACAGAGACAAGGGGCTCCTGCCTAACACCTGGGTGAAAGTAAATGTTCAATCCCGTTTTCCTCCTTTATTTGGGGCACATTTTTCTGTTCAGTGCAGGTATTTCCACCCCATGCTGGGCTACTGCAGCCCTGTTGGCCACGGCCGTGCCTCGGCTGGTTTGCTCTCGGGAGCTCAGGAGGAGATTGTGCATGGAAGGGTGGACATGAACACATGCTGGATCTCAGTATGGAAGCAAAATGCTTTAATCCCAAGGATTTCAGACTGGGCACACTCAATTTTATTGGATATTTGTCTGAAAAGCTGAAAGCCTTTTGGGAGGTTTAAGAAGGTCAAGGCTGAATCTCGGGGACACCTCCCACTAGACCAGGTTGCCCAAGTATCACGATCTGCAAATACATCCTGCACTGTATCCTGAGGTTCCCCAGATGTTGTCTGACACTCAAAGAGATGGGAATATAAGGAAACAAAGCAAAGCTACATCTCTCTACCAAGCAATACAAGTCACATTTGATGTAACCACAGGGAATGTCCAGCTGCACCCTCGTGACCTGCCCTGTTTTCACCACCTGCCCCCTGAAATCACACTATAGAGGGAAAGAAAGTAAAACCCCAAGATTTTAAGGAAGAGAAGAATAGATGTACTCAATTTTAACTGAGAAATGGTTCTTCCATTCTCATTAACTGCTGTATCTTCTGACCAGTATCATGAAGACCTCGATACTGGGGACGATGCTAAAATGGTAGTAAAGATGCAAAGAGGTGCAAGGGAGCAATGTAACATAATTCCCAAGCTTCCCTAAGGATCCAGGCAATATTTCCATAACTGGGATCTGCTGCAGCAGAAGACAAGATCAGCCTCTGCTTTCTCCAAACCAGCCCAACTGTGCACACAGAGCCAGACCGGGGAAGGGCAGGAGGAAAAAAAAGTTTGAGTGATGCCTTTGCCTTGTGAATAATGAACAGTTCAAGGAGGTCAACCCATTACAACTGAAACCGTTTAATTATTAATTATGCACAATCTATGAGCAAAAGGACAAGTTCAGAATGTTTAATGTGTGGTAACTCCAACTGGACCCTCTCCTGGCATTTTGTTATTAGCACTTGTCAGCAAGGTGCTCAGGCAGAAAGGAAAATGCACAGCGGCAGAAAATCTGAGCCAGCAGGAGGAGGGAGGGCTTTAAACTTCAAACACTGCCCCTAATATTTAATTTATAGAGTGCCCAGGCTCTGGGATAAACCTTATTGACTTCCACGGAGTCAGGGGAAGCCACATTATCTAAATGAAGACCTGAGAATGAGAATACTGAGCGATCCCTCCCAAATCCCTCTCTTTTGAAGGCAGCAATAACATTAGGATCTGTAGCTTCGTTTTTTTTTTCCTGAACAAAGGAAGAGTGAATCACCTAAGAGTGTGTCCAGAAGCCAAACTAATCCTTTGGAACCTTTGCAATAAGAGCCTGAATTACAGATCCAAGCACTACCCTCACCTACTCCTCAAAGCTACTGTTTGAAATGTCTCCTGCTCTGTTTGCTCTGCCCAAGAGGCAGAGATGCTGCTGAAGCTCCAGAGATAAATAATGTCCAGCAAACACACAAATAAACATGGATAAGGCACCTTCCCCCTTTTTTCTGTCCAGTTTGAAGGTTTACATGGATTAACTCAACAAGCAGATTCAACAGAGCTGCTTATTTTTTGGAAAACATTCCCATGTCCATGAAATTTGGGGGGTCTGCCAATTTACACCCGAAGATCCCAGGCCTCACACACCTTCAGGGGTCTTACCCCCAACACGTCATTTCTTGAGAGTGAAATATTTTCTCAAAACAACTGGAAGGCTGAGATCTCTCACATTCTCCTTTCAGAAGGACGATGCCCAGAACCTCCCTATTAACAGGAAAATCAGCAAATTCAGCTTTCTCCCTAAAACCTTCAGGGTGGGCACGGCAAAGCCCCCAGCTAAAAACCCACGTCCCTCCTCCCTCCTCCTTCAAGGCCAGAATTTATCCTGCTAAACCTCCCAGCTGGACAGAAAAGAGGGGGAAGGTGCCTGATCCATCTTTGTGGGTTTGTTGGACACGATTTTGTTTCCAGCATCTCTGCCACTGCTCAGGGAGAGCAAACACAGGGGATGACGGACGAGCGTCACCAACACAATCCTGGAAGAACTCTGAGGGCACCCAAGCTGAGAATTCCCAGTGGGTCAGGGTGCAAACAGGTTTTATTCCCCGTCCTGTGCCGGCTCCCTGTCTGTGAAGGGTTAAATTTCCCCACTCCCCACAGCTCCTGCTGTTCTGCAGCGCTGGTGCAGAAGGAGCTGCCATGGTCCTGTGGCTCCAGGGCCACAGGAGGGAAGTTACCAGAACCCAGCAAACCAAACTCCAGCTCCTCTCTCCTCTGGGCCTCCCCAGCACTCCCTGCCTTTGGAATTATCATCTCCTCTGGGCACATACTCCTATTCTGCAGCTCCTCCATTGATGCTGAAATGGCACTATTTAATAAATAATGTCTGTGCCTCACAGAGCATTTCTGGCTTAGCACTTCAGCCCACAAAATCTCCGGGATTAAAGAATTTTTATGCACTCCAGCTTCTCTTCTACTCAAGCTTTCACAAAATATATTCCCTTTTCTATAGGAGCTCTATTTTACCTTGTGGCCAAACAGTGATTTTTTTCACTTTAGATAAACAGGTTTTAGATGCACCAGAAATGCTGCCAGGTGCCATTACAGGTA